CCCCCCCAACCTGCTGCAATTTGCCGGTGATGACTGGCCCTGTTCAGGGAATTGGCATTTGTGATGTACGGCTTCTCTACGCCTCCAGTAATTGCGCGATCGGGACGTGTTAAACGGCCGTTAGTGACCCCGCGCTAAAAAAAAAAATGCGCTGACACTGAGAGATGAACGCCAAATGATATCTGGCCCTCTGGGTCTGAATCGCTTGTCCCATAGAGAATCCTGTTGTATGAATATATATGCCGGGCTCCTAAGGGGCCCATTCGCACCGGTCTGCTCTTGTGTTGACGCGGGCAGCCAGCGCGACAGACAAGAAAAAAGCTTGCGCCATTTTTTCTGACCATGCACATGTGCATCAGAGGTCCATTGGGAGCCATGGATAGTGAATAGCACTGCGTGTAACGTGCGCACCGCACCGGAAAAGGAGTGAGGCCATAAGAAGAGGCGGGGCATAATCACCTCTGTATTAATGCCCCCGACAGCAAAGGCCAGTGCTATAGAAACAAGGGCACCCCTTGTGGTTGGACTGCAAGCTTTTAGGGTTCTTTACAGTAAGAGCTGCAAAACGTGTGGAAATGGAATGTGGATTGTTATTCCAAGGGAATTCTTTATTTGCCGACACATCAGAGCGGGGTGGGTGACCTCAGCCACATCTTGCTGTCCTGGAACTACAAGTCCCATGAGGCACTGCAAGACTTTAACAGCCACAGGCATGAAGGGATTTCTGGGGTTTCACCACATAGGGAGTGCCAGGCTTGCCTACTCCGGCTATGTACAGTTATTGAACAGGGGAAAGGATTCTTTACTGTAAGAGGTGTGAAGATGTGGAATTCCACCGGAGCTGATTCTAGATATAATAAATTGTTTAGAAAACAAATAAAAGAGTTCAGTGTTTGTCTTGAAGATCTAAAGAAGAGAACAGAAAAGGTTACTGACCTGCTGCTGATATGCCATACCATTCACCCACGCCGGAAGTCTCACACAAGTGATACATGTTTCCATTACAAGCTGTACACAATTATCAAACAAGGAATGAACGAGAAGAAAACCACCAACTGGGACAATTCCAACACATCTCCGAGCCATCAGTAGATCCAGAGATATGAGCCACCGAAGGTATATGCGAAGCTTGACTTTTTCTGTAAAAGAAGTACTTGGCCACGCCCCTTTTGCAGCTCTCAAGCCTCCTTATTGGGTAACTGGCCCACTCGTCATCATTGAAGGACCAACTGGAAGGCTCAGGGGGAAGGAGGAGGTGGGGCCAAGCTTGGGTTTCATGGTAAAGTCCAGATTTGCCAATAAGTTGAGCTGCCTCTCTCGCTGGATCCACTGATCGTGTTTTCAAACTGATTTCACCTTGTGAATGTTTTTTTTTACTATATAGACTCAGTTTGAATTGCCCAGATTTGTTACAGGCCCACTTCAGGTATGGTCAGCAATATAGATGCTCATAGACCCCCACCAAAAAAGCAGAAACGTATGTCAGCAGTCACCACACATTCCAGGACTCACACCAAAAAGCAGAGATGGATTAAAAAAGAACAAGGCTCTGGGCAAGGTCACAGCTTCCAAAGACATTGATTAGGATTGCAATAGGCACAGAAAAGCCACCTCAGGTGCACAGCTTTGACCGACTTCCTGGTTTGCTGCACTAGAATAAGAGTTGTAGTAGCTTGGGCCCCTGAACATCCACCAGGCCCTAAGTTCCTGCCTAGGTAGCCTTGCAGACGATCCAAGAAGGTCGACTGGCATCATCAGATAATGTACCAAGATGGAAGCGTAAAAGGTCTTCAAGATGGAAGAGTAGAGGGTCTCCAAGATGAAAGAGCAGAAGGTATTCAAGGTGAAAGAGTAGAAGGTTTTCAAGATGAAAGGGTAGAGGGTCTTCAAGATGAAAGAGTAGAAGGTCTTCAAGATGGAAGAGTAGAGGGTTTTCAAGATGAAAGAGTAGAAGGTCTTCAAGATGGAAGAGTAGAGGGTTTTCAAGATGAAAGAGTAGAGGGTTTTCAAGATGGAAGAGTAGAAGGTCTTCAAGATGGAAGAGTAGAGGGGTTTCAAGATGAAAGAGTAGCAGGTCTTTAATAGACCGACCTCACTCCAATAACGTCGGCATGGGTAAAACTTCATTGTTGTGGACAAAGAGTACAGAAGGTCAGCCCAGACCCTCCTATACTGACACATTTCACCCAAGCAGGGCTTAGCTGTATCCCTGTTTGGGTGAAATGTGTTAGAGTGAGGAGGAGGAAGACCCTTTGTACTATTTGTCCAGAACAATAAAGTGTCAAAGACAAAGACCTTTTCTTTGCCTTTGACACATGGGGAGCGAGGACGGGCGCCACTCGGCCCACAGATGAAGGGAGCACCTTGACTTATGAGTGGTGGTTCCCCTTTGAGATGTTTAGGGTGGACTCTGTGGGGACTACTAAGGGATCTGCTTATCAAAGGGTGAATGTCAGATACACCAAAACCTTTCCATCAATGCGCTGACAAAGAATGCGGGTGAATTCAAGAAGGTGAGTGTTCTATACACTGACCATCCATGACCACAGAACCACAAATTCATAACACACATATTAGTCAGTGCAAATATTAATTCCTGGTGGGTGGGTGGGCGTGGCTAAAAGATTCTACTTCTGGTCAAATAACCATCAAACACCTGTTTTTGGACATTTTTTCTTCAAAGAATAATGGAATGAGCGCGCACATGGAAGACTCTACTTGGTGAGCTCTCCCACTCTCAACTGTCATCAGCAGAGGGGTGGAGTGGATCTTGTGACCTTCCTCCACCAATCACATGGTCTTCAAGAGCAATTCCATGAACCAACCAACCAGCCAGCTGCTAATTCTCTCCAGCAAACACTACAGTGTTGTGTAGTCACATTCTAGTGAACTCCTCACATGTGGGACGGGCAGGTCTGCTCCCTAAAGCCATTCCGCTTCAGACTCCGACTTCCAAAGCCAGGTGTCACCCGAAGCGGTTACAGGGTGACGCCCCTCCGTGACGTCACCGTGCATGCGATCTTATTGATACCTGCCGGTGGCCATCTTAGTGATGGACGCCGGCAGACAGAGGAGGGGACAGTCACCTGGCGGGCTAAGGTATGCCGCCGGGGTCCCCTCCTCTGTCCCGAAACTGTTGGGCGCTCGGTCCAAGACCGAGTGCTCGACTTTTTAGAAAGTGCCCGAATGTCAGTCATTTTGGTATCATCCCTACAATGGTGTCACCCGGGTGCGGGCCGCGCCCCCCAGACCCTCTTTGTGATGCCACTGCCCAAAGCAGGTCTGAATCTGATTGGCTCTGAAAGACTTCTGAAACCTGATGTTTTATATCAGGCTTTCTGTATGTTGCAGTGGGGGTGTCTGGGAATTTCTCACCTGCATCATAAGCAGGTGTTCCCGGAACACCAAATTTGGGTGGACGGGGGCACAACAGCAATGTCTAGATGGGGCAATGAAACCCTGAGCCGATCCTTCCTGTGAGCCGATCCTTCCTGTGAGCATCTCAGCTAGGACTGATGTGCGCAAATTTCAGTAAGGACTGGAGCCCCCAAAAGCTGATTGCGCCCTTAAATAAATAATTTGCAGCTCTTTTCTGATTGGCTACAGCCAGCATCCCCACTATCTCTTAGATCTAACTTCCCGTGTTTCCGAGAAGCGAGCGCAGAGGAAAAAAACCGCAGAGCTGAGGTCTGCCAGCCAAAAATGAGGGCAGATAGTCGAGATACCGTTAATTAGAAAAATAATTTGAGGTCGAGAAATCTCCGTCTTGGACGGCACGACGGGTTTTTTCTTTCGCCGCTTGAGCGCCGATTGAAAAATGGATGAAACCTCCTTGAAAAAGAATCCGAAAGTCAGAAAAAGCTGAAGATGAAATCCAAATCGTTTCCATTCCCATTTCTGGATCAACAAAGATTCAACAGGAAGTAGAAAGGAAAAAGACGTCAACGCTTGAAACAGAGAAAAGAAACACTGACAAGATAATGAGGAGATGATATTTAGTCAGTACGGTATAAAGCCAAGCAGCTCTGTAATACTCAGCGTCTGTGGATGTGGCTCAGTAACATAGAATGTGGATGTGGCTCAGTATCATAGAATGTGGATGTGGCCCAGTATCATAGAATGTGGCTGTGGCTCAGTATCATAGAATGTGGATGTGGCCCAGTATCATAGAATGTGGCTGTGGCTCAGTATCATAGAATGTGGATGTGGCCCAGTATCATAGAATGTGGCTGTGGCTCAGTAACATAGAATGTGGATGTGGCTCAGTATCATAGAATGTGGATGTGGCCCAGTATCATAGAATGTGGCTGTGGCTCAGTATCATAGAATGTGGATGTGGCCCAGTATCATAGAATGTGGCTGTGGCTCAGTAACATAGAATGTGGACGCGGCTCAGTATCATAGAATGTGGACGCGGCTCAGTATCATAGAATGTGGATGTGGCTCAGTATCATAGAATGTGGATGTGGCTCAGTATCATAGAATGTGGATGTGGCTCAGTATCATAGAATGTGGCTGTGGCTCAGTATCATAGAATGTGGCCGGAGCTCAGAGCAGATGGGGAGAGTGAGGACCGACCCGGATACGGAGGGTGGGCGAACTGTCAGCAGCCCCAACCCTGCACCCTATTGCCCGCAGCCCTGGAGAGACCGCCCGTAGCCCTGGTGACCTGCTGAGACCGCCCGAAACCCTGGTGAGACCGCCCACAGCTTGGCGGAGACCGCCCGTATCTGATGAGACTGCCTGCAGCCCTAGTGAGACAGCCTACAGCCCTAGAGTGAGACCGTCTGCAGCCCTAGTGAGACCGCCTGCAGCCCTAGTGAGACCGCCTGCAGCCCGGACAGGAGGAAGAGGCGCCTTGTTAACCGCCGTGGCTCCCAGCATGCAGCAGGCCAACTCTCCGCAGCTCCTTCCCATGACGGCGGGCGGTTTGGGGGGGGGCCCTTCATGGTTTCTTGCACCGGGGCCCTAAAGTTTCTAGTTACTCCTCTGACCACAGGTCCTGCTCTTTGTGAATACGTTTTGTGTTTTGTAAAAGCCATTTCCTAAGACAAAGCCTCGAGATTTTAGCCGTGGAGCCGACCGGAGACTCCGAGACCGATGTCTACGTCATCCTTCATGTCCTTTTCCTTCATTGTCTTATCAGCCAGATTGTGAGACATCTGAGATATGTGACAGCACTCAGCATCTTGTCAAGTCCCCGAGGTCACCCCGCAGGCTTCTTACAGGGTGTCAGTGTGAAAGGGACACGTCCGGGAGGTGACAGAGGTGGGTGGCATCATGATCCGGCAGTGAACGTTTGGAGCAGACACGGAGCGTGGAGAAGGAAACCTCACACTGAAACTGTCCCATGAAAAGGGAACTGCAACCAAGGGTACGGCTACGTATGTGCTCCCCACTGCTCATGTATCACCACCGCTCGTGTGTCACCACCCCTCGTGTGTCACCACCCCTCGTGTGTCACCACCGCTCGTGTGTCACCACCGCTCGTGTGCCACCACCGCTCGTGTGCCACCACCGCTAGTGTCACCACTGCTCATGTGTCACCACCGCTCGTGTGTCACCACCCCTCATGTGTCACCACCCCTCATGTGTCACCACCGCTCAGGTGTCACCACCGCTCAGGTGTCACCACCGCTCAGGTGTCACCGACGCTCGTGTATAATCACAGCTCGTGTGTCACAACCGCTCGTGTATCACCACAGCTCGTGTGTCACCACCGCTCGTGTGTCACCACCGCTCGTGTGTCACCACCGCTCGTGTGTCACCACCGCTCGTGTGTCACCATAGAATGTGGATGTGGCTCAGTATCATAGAATGTGGCTGTGGCTCAGTATCATAGAATGTGGACGCAGCTCAGAGCAGATGGGGAGAGTGAGGACCGACCCGGATACGGAGGGTGGGCGAACTGTCAGCAGCCCCAACCCTGCACCCTATTGCCCGCAGCCCTGGAGAGACCGCCCGTAGCCCTGGTGACCTGCTGAGACCGCCCGAAACCCTGGTGAGACCGCCCACAGCTTGGCGGAGACCGCCCGTATCTGATGAGACTGCCTGCAGCCCTAGTGAGACAGCCTACAGCCCTAGAG